GACGTGAATTCTCAGGGAGAATTTATAGAACATGGCCCTTTTTATGGTAAATTACAAGAACTAATCCTGTTTTGGTCGAGGTGTCATACCAAATTCTGATTCAAAATGTCTGTCACTGAACATGTGTTTCCTAAATCGATTTAAACCTGAGGCAGAGCTTCAGAAGGATTCCAAACCAATTATTTGTTCTCACTCATCCCTAAGTATGAAACACTTGTTGCTTGCATGACATCACACTAACTTGCTAGATGTACAGCAAGGAAACTTAAATGAGATGTTCATATTCGTTAACTGTTTTCACCTGCCGTTTCACTCTAAAAATCTTAAACAGTTCACTTGTATATGTACTTGAATCTGTGTATGTACACATGACGGCCAAGGTGCCAATCATTTTGATACAGTCGGACCTAGCGCTCCCTTAACTAATAACCTGTAGTTCTATCTTTCAGAAGATATAATGAATGATTTTTCTGCTATGTTTAGGAGAAATGTTACTGCGGTTTTAAAGTCCTCCTGTAATCTGTAAGATAGTCTGATGAGGCGGTGGGGTTAGCCTGGTGGTTAGAACGTTCGCTTGTCACGCCGAAGGCCCGGGTTCGATTCTCCACGCGTGTGAAGCCCATTTCTGGTGTCCTGCCCCGTGATATTGCTGGACTGTTGATAAAAGCGGCATAAAACCATTCTCATTCACTCTGATGATATTGTTAGCGTCTTTTTGATAGTTTAGAAAATACAAAAAAACGCGTACAACGTGTGATAAAATGTGGTCAAATTAAGTTTGATCTATTAATGTCTATGAGAAGGATAAAAAAAATGCTTTCAAGGAACATGGACGAGATACATAAAGGTTATTCGGAACTTTGAATGTTATCTTGGTTGTTAAAAAGTAATTGCACATTTTATTCAAGGATCTGTTCTTGTAATGAAAATCGTTATTTCATAGAGTGGCTTTACTTAAAATGTCAAATTGTCTTTTTCATTCTTTGTAACAATGGTTTATTGGTTTACAGGTCAATATGTTATTATAATATGTGCAAAGATGCTGTATAATGTTGCCCTGGAGAAAAACGTTTGTGGACATTCATTCGTTTACAGGTCAATATGTCATTATGATATTGCAAAAGAAGCTATGCTATGTTTCCCTGTGGGAATATGTCTGTGGACAGTGTTGGAATAAAGTTATAAGGGGACAAGTTAGTTCCGCAAGATAATATTACTAAAGCTATGAAAACAATCTCAGTCAGTGTTGGAAGACAAACATCTTGCCATTATCACAATGGAACTTGCTAACAAACATTAAGACATCTACCATTACCGTGGAATAATCAAAATCCTTCATGTCAAACCAAGCATAAGAGAACATCAGGATTATGCCGGATGAGCTTCTAGAAATATAACTCTCCTACTATGGGCATGTTTGTACACAAAAGAAGTGAAACAACGCATAGAACATCCTTACAATGCCCAAGCAAACGATGTCTCACATGCCATTCTTCCCTTTATATTGATTGTAATTCTTAATGAGGACAAACGACAGTCGATGACTGTGAAACAAACGGCTGGTTTTGGAATAGACAAAAACAATGTGCCTTAGGCTACGGTAGGCGTCCAACGGATCTACTTTAGTTCCTGGCGACGATGCAAAGCATGAAGAAGACGAAACTCCTTTTATTTAATCAGTTTAGACAAGTGATGTCGTGCAAATAGGAAGGAGATAGGCCTTTCAAGTTGATGTGTCTTGGGGTTAATTTTACATTTCGACATCTGCTTCATCCTCATTTTGCCCCAGCGTCACCCATTTTCTTTGTTTCGACATGCTCCTTTCTGTTTCATAATTTCGAGAATTCTGTTTTATTGGTACTGCGCCGTTTGTCTTCATCTTGTACGGATATGTGAATCATGATGCAGCTAACAGTATTTGCTCGTGACTACATTCTGATTCTGTCTCTCTCACCCTTATTGCCTTCTCGAAGGAGTTTGGTTAAGTGTAAATGAAGTCAATTTTGAGGTTGCCGTCAGCCGGTTTCCTATAGCATTCTTTGATATTTTCAGAAGAACACGTAGTTCACGTTCGCTGAATTAATCCAATCACCGAAGATTTCGAATCCTTAAAAAACACTTTTTACAATAAAAGGTTAAATGTCTCTGTAAGCACAACCAGTATCTTTTCATCTAGTTTTCAGGAAGTTCTTCTTTTTGAGGAAGCAACAGTGTTGGTACTATTAGATTTACAGTTGTCAAACAGAATACAATTATCTTTTGCTCTTCCAGGTTAGCTTCAAACAATGAAATATAATCTACTCTAACAGTTTACAGGAACGTTTCTAAGACTTACAGAAGCGGTCTCTTCCAACTTGCCCTCAGTAAATGCTTTACATTCAATTCAGAGTAGCAGGTGATCTGATAATAAGGCAGTGCTGTTTTGTTTGTTTTTTCAATTTCTGGTGTTTCATATAAACTTTCAGCTATTTCAACAAACTCTTTGCTGGGTACGTGCCATCTAAAGCACTTTACTGATACTAAGACCATATCTTATGTGCACCATGTACGATACCATGTCGTAAAGACGTTGAAATTCAAGCTCAGAAGCGCTAAGGCCTTGGTTTGTCTATTTACCAAATGGTACTCTATGGATTTGCAAACCTCAACTTTATAATTATGCCATCGAAAAGGCCAGTAGGCACAAGTTATACTGAACACGTTTCTACGGGGTACCCATTTACTGTTTGATTAACAAAGACACTGGTAGATGACATGACTCAACACAGAAAGTGACAAAATGATTTGTGATGTTTTTAAGAATCTCAGCACTTGAGTCCATTACAACAACTCCCACATCGAAACGACCTTTTGCAAACGATTCTATGCCGAATCACCCCTCACCGGCCACGTGTAATCAGTGGGTGAGTGAGTGAGTGAGAGGGTAAAAGAGTGGGTTGGTTTTACGCCGTTATTGGCATTATTCCAGCAATATTACCGCGGGGGACACCAGAAAAGGGCTCCACTTCGACGCGACGAGCAAACGCTTTATCCATCAGACGTCCGCCCCGAGTGAGTGAGTGAGTGAGTGAGTGAGTGTTTTATCATTATTTCAGCCACATCACGGCAGGGAACAACCACGAATTGTGGGGAATCGATCCTGAATTTTCGTTGTGACGAGTCAACGCTTAGGCCACTAAGCTACCCCGTCCAAGTAGAACGTCTCACTAAGACATGCAGTCACGCTTACCCTTGTTATTTTACTTATCTTGACATCATGTCATTCGCGACAATCATATCGTACCAAGATCCATCAATCTGTATGATGTAACACACACGCAAGCAGTAGAGCGGACATAAGCGGATGATAAATGGCTACCGTTACACGAACATGTAGATTGTGTTTCGCTTCGTTTGTTTTGTTACGATATAATTAAGATAGTAAGTATTATACAAGCTATCATGATCACCATACGCGTCTTCAACGTTGAATATATTGATATATTTATCGTTGAACACGAACATGAGTTACTGCTTCTTAATACAACAATGACAAATGCCCGCTATAACAGCGAATATCGTAATGTAAAAGATTTGCCCTGTAGAGACTAAACGAGGACTATTAATGTGATCATTAATAAGGTCAAAAAGAAACTATTTGTGATTTTTTTCTGACGCAAACTCCAATTATTTTGAAAGTTGATATGCTCATTAAATTACCCAAAGGATCTCCCGTGTCGCGTAATCACATCAATAACATATTTTGTCAGTCTTTGAATATTGACATCTTTCAGGACAGGTGGGTTAACCAAGTACTTATGATTCTTGAAGCAGACCTTTTTGCGTTGGATAATTACTTTTCTATTTCTGCTAGATCATATTCTTCAAGAGAATCTTTGACGTAGAAATTAAGATGAAAACGAAATATCGATTTATACTTTGGATAAATTGCAACTTTGAAACCTTTATTATGTAAGCTTTTGTGTTTCATGTCCGAAACTTAAAACATTTGAGAAAAACGAGTACATGTGTATGGGGTTATTCTTTGTTCTTCGTGACATTCCTTTGGAATGTGAGATGAAGACACGAACACCCTATGTCGAGGGCCGTGCTGACCCACGGTAACCGCGTATTTTAGGAAATTAGGAAAGGTTTTAGCAGTGTTCGAAATACCTGCCTGCCCGACCGTCCGAGACGGGTTGATTTTAACTCGGGCTGCCAGATTTTCAAATCCCCCTGCCCGACGGTCAGGTTATATTTCATTTGTGAAAATATTCTAAATATTTCCCAATGATAAGCATTAATTCACATGTAAAGATGAATGATAAAATGTAACCAAAAAGAAACCCCGTTAGCTTATCCTGAGATACATATGATTATAGTAGGCAGGCAGGTTTTGGTCAGGGCTGGCAAGTATTTCAGCTGGCCAGTCCTGTGGTCTGGCTGAAATTTTGGGGAGTTTCATACCCTGGTTTTAGAAATCATTATGATCATCAGATTCGTTCATATTGTTTTATTCAACACTTGCATGTTTGGGACTTACAGCATTATTTAATGAATATGTAAGGTTTGCCAAGGCTGATTTAGAGGTTTCTGGTAACGTTTTCCTGATATTTGAATATGAGCAAGTCTTCGACAGCAAAAACATTAAATATGATCAATGGGTCATTTTAGAGCATGGACGTGTTTACAGTTCTATTTTTCAGCTGGTATAGGTTTCTTTTCCCTTGCTCTCATTTTACCTACACTTGTACTTGATTATGTTCTTAGTCAAAGATAGGCAAGTGAAAAGAGAAAAAAGGCGAGTTGTCAGTCATTTGAACATACCTGGTACTTTTAATACCATAACCGCAATCAAATCATGGCTATATAAGTTTTCACAAAAACAACAATGTTGTGCGGGTTAAGAAGATTTCGTATATATATATATATATATATATATATTTCTAATAGTTGTAAATAACAAGTTAAAGTTTAAATATAAAACCTCCAATTACAAAGTTGAAAACAGCTTCACTTACCATCGCCTCTGATCCAACAACAAGGATGACCACCAAGCCAATACTAAGTCTAATAGCAGAGGCTTCCATTATGGTAGGACAGGCTGTGGTTTCTTTCTAAACGTCCTGGAAGTCAAACTTGCAACTGAAATGATCGAGATAGAGACCAGTCGGACCAAATATACTACAACGCCACCCCCAACCCTCCGGCCCACCCCACTTGCCAATAACCTCCCCACGAGGCGTTGGTTTCCTCGACAACGTCACTCCAGACCAACCAATCAGCGCAGCGAGGAAAACCTATGGTGGAGTATCATGGAATCGATGGTTGCGCCCTAGCCGTTGAAATCAAGGATTTGGTTGTCAGTTAATTGTTCCCCGGTTGTCACAGATCCTTTTTCATGGGCTGGATGGTTTGTTTCAATATTCCGTGATTTGATCCAGCTGTTGTGTTTAATATTATTGATACACCTACAGTGGTCTATTCAGTCACAAAGAGGACACCGTCCACAGCGATAAGAGAATCGATGTTGTACTGACGTTAAGAGAATAGGTATCACCCATAGGAGTAAAGCCACATTACAATGAAAAGTATCATCTTCCAACACAGTCGCGTCCATGATAACCTAATCCCATATGGACTCTCATCCCTCGATGCTTATTTGCTCCTGTGGGTTCTACAAGAATGGACAATTGGTGGTCTATTATTGAGAAAGAGCAGATTAAATTGGTTCATTGCCGTATGGAAATATTGCCTCAAAGTTCAATGGAAACTATTATATTTGCGTTTTCCGTCATCCTGAAAGAAAAAACCTACTGTCCTGAGCCTAGTATAAAGTTTCTGAGCTTGGTAAAAACATCCGCTGTCAGACTCGGACAGGTTTGTGATGGGATATTGTTATTCAACATCCGTTTTAATTTCAGGAATTGAGTAAGGTTAGATGTAGAAGTCGTATTATCAACAGTTAACCCTGGTCGGTACACTCGGGGATGAAAAGGTACAAAAGAAACAACTCTCGCGGGAATTGACGAAATTGAAATGGATACGTTTCATTGTTGCTTTATGCGACTGGAGCCTATTTTCACCATCAATTTCCATAAGATTGGTGTGTGAATAGGCCAATACTTGGCACCAATAAACATTGGACAAATGAAGTGAATTTTACTATTTATGATAGCGAATGGCGTAGTTCTAAACGTGTGTGATAGTTGATAGTTCTTAAAGGACCCCTCAGGTTTCTATCTGACAAATCGGCTTGGCTGCTGAGCGATTCGTGATGTTGCTGGTGTGTTCTACCCATGATCCAACAAAGGTTGGACAGTAAGTGTTGATGAATGAATAGCCAGACACATAACTAAATACCCTCACAACCAATTCCGTAACTCCGGAGAACGTGTCATTAGATAGTCCCAACTTGATTAAGCTTCCAGACAATTAAATATGAATCGTTTTAATGAAAGAAGTTGCAACGTGATATCTCGTTGTAAAACGGATCCTTTTTGATAATTTATACGTGTTTGTCATGTGCATCGCGTTATGCATCCGTTTTATCAACCATCTGCAAACAATATGGTGAGACTTATTTAACAAATACATATCATATTCCTCCCGAATGTATTGATATCACTTAATCAATACAAATGGATTAGAAGAACAAATTAATAAATTGCTAAACCATCGTCTCTATCAACACCGCGTGTTAGGAAACGAGATAAAAAATGTGACGTGGATCCCAAACAGTGGTTTGAAATATTGTGACGCCTTCCGCGTGAAGTGTAGAAGAACAACCTGCAGAAAGCAGGCTGCTTCTTATCTTAATACTTAAGTCACGCTCTGTCATAAAGATTTTGTAAACGTTTTGTAATCGTCAAATGTCGAATTCCCTTCCACTGATTTATCCATCTGAAGTAGAAATAAAAGAGACCAGTCACCGCCTCATTTATTTCATGTTTTGACCTATGCACAAGGATTCAAAGTGGCAATAAAATATCCACAAGATTGTATAACAAGGGGGATGACTTCACCTTTCCAATAGTCAACTTGCCCTTTATGTCAAGCAATATTCCTGCAACTCCAGCCTTTGGTGTGCACAATTTGAGTACAATCGAGCATGATTTCAAAGGGCTTTATGCGACTGCTCCTCAAACGTTTTTGAACAGGGTTACAGCATTCAAGGCCTCGGTACAGCTTTGAAAAGGCTTTATGGTAGACATGTGGAGGACCAAACGTATGTTCCATGCAATTCCCTATCACTATAGGATAGACATTCATAATCACTTTCTTATGATATGGTCTGACTCGTACAGTGGACTCTGCTTTATCCGATATTTTTTTACAATTATGGAAAGCAATTTGTCGCTTTTACACAAAAGTATAAGATAGATCGAGATTGCAGTGGTGATTGAAGATCAGTGTGAAAGTATAATTGAAAACATAATGTAGCATGTAAGGATGAAATGTAGTATTGAGAATGAATGATGTGTTCAATGAGATGAGTAGTGAATAAATATCGCTGAGGATTCATTGTGTATAGGGATGACTGAGGTTTCGTAGTGTATTAGGATGGCTGACGTATAGTGCATAAAGATGGCTGACGTATAGTGTATAAGGATGGCTGAATTTGTGTAGTGGATAAGGATGGATTAGGTTGTGTAATGTATAAAGATGGCTGAAGTAGTGTAGTTTATAAGGATGGCTGAAGTAGTGTAATGTATAAGGATGGCTGAAGTTGTATAATTTATAAGGATGGCTGAAGTTGTGTAGTGTAAAAAGATGGCTGACGTGAAGTGTATAAGGATAACTGACGTGTAGTGTATAAGGATGGCTGAAGTAGTGTAGCGTATAAGGATGGCTGAAGTGTAGTGTAAAAAGATGGCTGGCGTGTAGTGTATAAGGATGGCTGACGTACAGTTTAAAAAGATGGCTGACGTGTAGTGTATAATGATGGCTGACGTATAGTGTAAAAGGATGGCTGACGTGTAGTGTATAATGATGGCTGACGTTGTGTAGTGTAAAAGGATGGCTGACGTTGTGTATAAGGATGGCTGACGTATAGTGTTTTAGGATGGCTGAAGTTATGTAGTGTATAATGATGGCTGACGTATAGTGTATAAGGATGGCTGAAGTTGTAAAATTTATAAGGATGGCTAAAGTTGTGTACTGTAAAAAGATGGCTGACGTGAAGTGTATAAGGCTGGTTGACGTGAAGTTTATAAGGATGGCTGACGTGTCGTGTATAAGGGTGGCTGAATTTGTGTAGTGTATAAGGATGGCTGAGGTTGTGTCGTGTATAATGATGGCTGACGTTGTGTAGTGTATAACGATGGCTGACGTGTAGTGTATGAGGATGGCTGACGTGAAGTGAATAAGGATGGCTGACGTTGTGTAGTGTATGAGGATGACTGACGTGTAGTGAATAAGGATGGCTGACGTGTTGTGTAGAACGATGGCTGACTATGTGGCGTGCATAAAGATGGCTGATGTGTAGTGTACTGATGGTTGACGCTGTGTAGTGTGTAGGGGTGACTGACGTGTAGTGTATAAGGATGGCTGACGTTGTGTCGTGTATAAGGATGGCTGAATTTGTGCAGTGTATAAGGATTGCTGAGGTTGTGTCTCGTGTAAAGATGGCTGACTTGGTGTAGTGTATAATGATGGCTGGCGTGTAGTGTATAAGGATGGCTGACTTTGTGTAGTGTATAAGGATGTCTGAAGCTGTGTAGTGTATAAGGATGGTTGACGTGTAGTGTATAAGGATTGCTGAAGCTGTTTAGTGTATACGGATGGCCGACGTTGTGTAGTGTATAAGGATGGCTGACGTTGTGTAGTGTATAAGGATGGCTTAAGGTGTGTAGTGTATAAGGATGGCTGACGTTATGTAGTGTATACGGATGGCTGACGTTGTGTAATTTTTAAGGATGGCTGACCTGGAATGTATAAGGATAGCGGACGTGTAGTGTAAAAGGATGGCTGACTTGTCGTGTATAAGGATAGCTGATGTGTAGTGTACTGATGGTTGACGTTGTGTAGTGTATAAGGATGACTGTCGTGTAGTGTATAAGGATGGCTGACGTTGTGTAGTGTATAATGATGGCTGACGTATAGTGTAAAAGGATGGCTGACGTGTAGTGTATAATGATGGCTGACGTTGTGTAGTGTAAAAGGATGGCTGACGTTGTGTATAAGGATGGCTGACGTATAGTGTTTTAGGATGGCTGAAGTTATGTAGTGTATAATGATGGCTGACGTATAGTGTATAAGGATGGCTGAAGTTGTAAAATTTATAAGGATGGCTAAAGTTGTGTACTGTAAAAAGATGGCTGACGTGAAGTGTATAAGGCTGGTTGACGTGAAGTTTATAAGGATGGCTGACGTGTCGTGTATAAGGGTGGCTGAATTTGTGTAGTGTATAAGGATGGCTGAGGTTGTGTCGTGTATAATGATGGCTGACGTTGTGTAGTGTATAACGATGGCTGACGTGTAGTGTATGAGGATGGCTGACGTGAAGTGAATAAGGATGGCTGACGTTGTGTAGTGTATGAGGATGACTGACGTGTAGTGAATAAGGATGGCTGACGTGTTGTGTAGAACGATGGCTGACTATGTGGCGTGCATAAAGATGGCTGATGTGTAGTGTACTGATGGTTGACGCTGTGTAGTGTGTAGGGATGACTGACGTGTAGTGTATAAGGATGGCTGACGTTGTGTCGTGTATAAGGATGGCTGAATTTGTGCAGTGTATAAGGATTGCTGAGGTTGTGTCTCGTGTAAAGATGGCTGACTTGGTGTAGTGTATAATGATGGCTGGCGTGTAGTGTATAAGGATGACTGACTTTGTGTAATGTATAAGGATGGTTGACGTGGTGTCGTGTATAAGGATGGCTGACTTTGTGTAGTGTATAAGGATGTCTGAAGCTGTGTAGTGTATAAGGATGGTTGACGTGTAGTGTATAAGGATTGCTGAAGCTGTTTAGTGTATACGGATGGCCGACGTTGTGTAGTGTATAAGGATGGCTGACGTTGTGTAGTGTATAAGGATGGCTTAAGGTGTGTAGTGTATAAGGATGGCTGACGTTATGTAGTGTATACGGATGGCTGACGTTGTGTAATTTTTAAGGATGGCTGACCTGGAATGTATAAGGATAGCGGACGTGTAGTGTAAAAGGATGGCTGACTTGTCGTGTATAAGGAT